CTGTTCACCAATTAACCTACCAGTTTGGAATGAGAGCAGTGAGGATCCGGTTGCGTATTTTGCTTGGTTTTTCATATCAGGTAGGTTGGTCTTGAGCACCTTGCTAACATCTCAGTAGGTTCCGGCATGGCATCACATGATCTAATCCTTATTCCTGCTCCTCCGCATACGCATCAGATTTTATTGATAAGCGGGTTCGCTTCGAGTACCGTCACTGACCGCAAGTAGATGTCATCGCAATGCGGTGATGACAGAGACCTCGAGACAAGATTTTTAAATTATCAGGTGGGTTTGGCAGGCTGCTGGACTGACAATGAAATACATCTCTTCCAGAACTCGGCGTATTGATTTCCGGTCGCAAAATTATTTGGCCCAGATCGCACCAGATTTAATTGCGAAAACGCTGCGTAAGGTCCAGTGACGGTTCAAGATCCGTGTAGGTATCAGGAGTATTGTTGACGACCTGGAAGTTCGACCATTTTGGACAGTACTCAGTACAATATCCCCACGGACTGCTCCTCGCTAGCTTCTATATTTGCAGGATCATCGCATAATCTCCAGTGGAGACTATTGTACAAATTCTTATGATATTGTTGTGCCAATCGTAAGCCGTTGCAAAGCCAGCTTTCGTATTCAACAGCCGCTGCAGTCTTACTCGCAATCGAGTACGTTCAACCTCGATAAATCACGTACACATGCACGCCTCATACAAGTATAGTAACGTATACCCAAAACACCAGAACAAACTATTTGAGGGTGGGGTGATAATGGTGCCACTGCGGATTTCGTTTACGGTTCGTTGGCAACATAAAAGTGCTGAGTGTGTTCCACTAGAATGAATGGACCACGTAATTTATTCGACACCGAATCGATAAAGTGTATAAGATGCTGTCGTTATAACATAGTGCGCTTAAGCCTACGGTCACTATTGGACGTCGGTCTGGAACTCAACCTTGCAGCAACCCTGCTCCGTTTGTTGGCGCCTGTCGGAATGCGATCAGAGCCGTGTACTGGTAAGAGCATGTGATGAACGGAACGCCAGCTTGGAAGCAGTAGGAAAATATCGGCGCGGACGCAACATTGTCGGATCCCCATTGAGAACATGATTGTTATGTTGCACAAATTGGTCTGGGCTATAGTGCTGATTCTCGGTCCTCTGGAGCTCGACTCCAACTCTGCAGGGAAAATGCACACCGTCAGGCCACAGGGCCAATTTTGAGGACAACAATGCCTTCACACAGATGTGCTCCAGTGTTAGAAACCCTTTCTTTGCACAAACTCCAATCACCGCGGTCTCGTACAGGGCGTTCCGAGCACCCAATGCCTGCCGCGATCAATAGGTGAAGTCGCTAGAATCCCGCAGCGAAATTTCGAAACAGCAACGCCAGGCATTGCTGGAATTCTCTGCCATCCAATAAATTTCAGATCGACTTTTGACCGCATGTTTGCTCCTGTAATCGCTATACTCACTTCTCTTCTTCTCCGTAAAGCAGATGTATGTTTCTGCGGTGGCCCTTGGAGCCAGTATGCCCCATCCTATGTGCGAGTCTATCGGTTGGCGGTCCAGGGCATATGATCGAGAAGCATATTACTATGAATCAATGTACGCTTTAACTCGATTTTTCCATTCAGCCGATGATGGATGTATGCTCAGACCAGGCGCTCTTGAAAGTGAACATTTTCGTCATCAGGGAACTCGATTTTCAGGGGGGCGACAAGGCCGTATAATACCCATGCTTGTGTGCCATGGCAGTCAATATACTAGCATATCAGAGCCACGAAAATGCTTACAACCACCTACATTGCGGCAATGCGTATAGTCGGGCGGACTTGGGCGCGAGGTCGGAGAGCAGCGCATAGAACTCGTATGCGCGCAGACATAACAATGTTGCCTTTTCCTGTAAATCAGCAGCAGTCCACCCAATATCTTGCATAGTTCCATAATGACCCTCAAGCCAAACTTCTATCATGGAATCCTCCTCTTTTCAGGAATGTGAGAGGATCGCATCTCAGTGAATGTCGCTTCCAATGAAAATCTCCCACTCTTCAACGCGCCACTTTCCACTCTAACAATTTGGCCTGTGATACTCAACATTTTCGAAACCATAAAGTTTACAGTGCATGAACGAACGCAGTGCCATAATACGCGACGACTGACGTCGAGTTCGTAACGTCCGCTATACCGAATTCATGCTAGCTCCCGCTGACGTCACATGTCATATACTGTCATGATTAACTTTCACGAGCACGCAACGTCTCCACCAAAGGAGCAGCCTCAAAAGCTGAGCTATGCGACTCTCTTTACAGCCATGGCTTCTATAAGCGACACTCTTACATTGATCAGCTCGCTAGCACTTCGCCTAAGTGTATGGGTCTTTTTGCGATGGGTATGTCTCTTCAATAACTCTCAGTCACTGGACACTAATGTTTCACAGATTCCTACCACTGTGAGTACTTTCAAGTTATCGCAATGATGATTACATTGGTATTCTGATGTTCCATCTGCCAGATTGTACCGGCGCTCGCGACAGCTCTCACGCTCGTTTACATTCCTTCCTTCTTCACGAGCTTTCAAGACACGGCGCAATACAAGGTCATATCCGATGAGCTCGATATCATTGTCAAAGAGACTGTTGATCGTAGCGATGACTCAAGTGAAGAGGAGCCATTGATTGATAGCGCCGGGGACCCTTCACTCGAGGAGGTAGACGTACAGGAAACCATCCAGTTGGAGGAGAGGGACCCTAAACGACTGCGCACGCTACTCACAGGTCTTCCAAGTCCCTCGTCGGCGCTATGGAGTTGGATCACGTTTGCCATCAACATGGCGCTTATTGCCATGGTTCTGGACGTTGTGTACCGCGCGCCCATGTTCCATCAGTGTCATGACGCGTCATTTGGACGCGTCGGTTACGTGTCGGAGAACAGCGCGAAGATTCTAGTGCGAGAACCGTACGCCTTTGACGTCCGAGTCCTCTACCGCTCCACCGACGAGCCCAATCGTTCCTGGATGCACAAGACGCATTTCGCCAGCCAGCCCAGCGGATGGCTGACCAATGAGACCGACTTCACAACTGTCATGAACATCGAGCACCTGCGACCGGATACGCAGTATGAGTACGTGGTGGAAACATCGAATGGGAACAAGACGGGTACTTTTACAACGGCTCCACGGCCTGGGCACATCTCCCAACTGAAAGACAACAAATACACATTTGTACACTCAAGCTGCATTAAGCCCCGTGTACCGTACACACCCCTCCAACACCCACTCGAGTTCCCCGGAATGAAGCACCTAGCGCGCTGGATCCCCAACCTTCAGCCGTACTTTATGCTCTTTCTCGGCGACTTCATTTATGTCGATGTCCCGCACCGTCAAGGCAAAGACCACGAAACCTATCGCCGCGAATATCGACAGGTCTACTCTTCCCCATCCTGGCCCGCTGTCAGTGACAATCTCCCCTGGATACACGTCATCGACGACCATGAGATCGAAAATGACTGGAGCGGCAACATGTCTAGCGTCGCTGTACCGGCTTACGACGCTTTTACACACTACAATGCCGCCCCTAATCCACCTCCCCACCGCAAAGGCCAAACTTATTTCTCATTCACCCAAGGCCCTGCGGATTTCTTCCTCCTCGATACGCGACGATATCGCAGTCGCGCCAGCAAAGATGCCAATGACCCAAACAAGACCATGCTTGGCGCACAGCAACTGGCTGATCTACTCGCATGGATCCAAAACCCTCCACCACCTGGCGTTCATTGGAAATTCATTGTCACGGGTACGCCCTTCACCAAGAACTGGCACTTTGGATCTGAAGATACATGGGGCGGACACCTCCATGAACGTCGCCTCATCCTCGAAGCGGCATGGGAGCTGTCCAGCCATTCACCCATTGGTGTCGTTGTCCTCAGCGGCGACCGCCATGAATTTGCCGCCACCGCCTTTCCTCCTCCTGTAGGCGGCAAGTGGCCACTCAGCGCGACGGTACATGAGTTTAGCACAAGCCCGTTGAGTATGTTCTACCTGCCGCTGAGAACTTATAAAGAGCAGGATGGCGATGATGTATGTGTCAAGTATCTACCCGACGGGAACAGCAAGTTTGGCGCTGTGGAGATTACGAATCCACCGCATGGGGAGCAGAGTTTGTTGAATTACAGGTTGTTTGTCGATGGGGAGGAAGTGTGGACGTACGTTGTTAGTACGCCACCCGAGAGAGAGGGGAGTCATAGGGCACGGGATGCTGTGTGGGGCTGAGCTGCTAGGTGGGCCATGTAGTGGGAATGTTTGTTCTCAGTCAATTTAACTATCACATCGGGTAATCATAATGGGTATCTCATTCGTATTGCAAATGTAGTAATTATATACCAGTTGTTACTTCTTCTGCTCCGTGGTCCATTTTCTCTTGGCCTTCTCTTCATCTGCCTCTCTCCATTCTCGTGGCAACACGGCGAAGACGAGATAACTGGTATGCGTCTTCAACTCCGGCTCCGTCCTATGCACCAGCCTGCCCTCTTTGAACAACGCTCGTCCCTCGGTCTCTTTCTTCGTCTGCTCGACCCTTTCCTGCTTACTCTGCGGCGCCACACCAGCATCCACCTTCTTCCCGCCCTTCTTCCCACCCTTGGCCCCATTTGCGCCGTCCGCAGACACCGCCTCCACCGCCTCCCCTCTTTTCTTCGCCTCCGCCGCACGCATAATCTCTTCCTGCTTCTCCTTTTGCAGACTATGAAACACGGCCGCTCTGCCCTCGACCTCTCGTAGCCGCTGTACGGCTTCGTCCACACTTGCTGCCGTTGCGTTTCCTCCCCTTACGCCTTCTTCGGCCAGGCCGACGCGCTCGCGACGTACTTCGAGGCGCTTGGCTTGGACTTCCACCATGTCGATTGAGAGCCAGCCGTATGAGCGGAGTGCGGACACGGTTCTGGTAACTTGCTCGATACAAGGGCTGAATGTGCATATGCGCGTTGCGCTACGGGGATTGAGGGGGGAGCAAAAAGGTTTGGAGGATGTGGACGGCGAGGGAGCGACGGCGGGTGTGGTATTGCCGGGGGGTGCGGTTTCGGAGGCTACCGCATTGAGGGTTTCAGCGGTGGGGGGAGAGCGTGTGAGGTGCTTTAGGGCCTGCCATGGAGCGGGAAGATCGAGAAAGATGATGTCGGCGTCGGGACTGGAGGCATCGTCGAGGAGGAAACCGTCGCCGTAGACGTCGCGATGGGTCACTGTGACGAAGGGGGAGAGACCGTGGTCGATGATTTCGGCCTGCAATTGCTTTGCGCGGGGTTCGTGATATTCGAAGCTGTATACGCCACCTTGACGCCGTGTGCGCTTTCTTCGGCTGGGGACGATACCGACAGCAAGTTCTTGGTCGCCATTGGGCGGGGAGGTGCCTGGGTAGCCGTTGTAGATTGCGCGGACGGCGGCGTGCGTGAAGCTGCCACTTCTTGCGCCGGCTTCGATGACGTGGTCACCCGGCCTTGCACGTAACCGCTGCAGGATGTAGCTGTAGTCGGGCGTATAGACGACCTGGGTGCGATGTGGTAGCGACAGTGTCCAGGTCTCTGGTGTGGGTGGAACGAGATGGGCAAAACCACTGCTTGCTGCCGCAGCCTTTACAATTTCCTTTCTAAGAGCCTCTGGCCTCTCCACGCGTGCTTCTGACGCGTCGCTGTCTTGGGCATCGCCACGTTTTCTCTTCTTCGACCTCCCACGCGATCCTGTATCTACAATCGAGGCAAGAATCTGGGTCCCCCACGGCTGATCAACGAGAGTGCTGTGGGGATAGGAGCCAAAGCGCGTGTTCTCGACCTTGCCCTCTGCATATTCAGAGTCGCTGTCTGGCGCAAGAACAGCGGGAATGAGGTGGTCTCGTCGCAGTTGAAGGATGCCGAGACTATGTGCAGTCGCATGAGTTCCTGGGTCCAGAAATGGCGATAGGATGGGAGCCATTAAAAGAGGCAAAGACTCTGGGAAGATCCGAGTGAGTGAAGAAGTCTGTACCGGTAGTCCTCGCTATGGGTCTTTGCGTTTTGCGGCGAGGATGCTTTTGGGATTTCTATTCCTATCGTTCCAAGGTTCCCGTCAGGTTCGTCAGGTTCGTTGGCGATAAACCTCCGAATACCGACAACCTTGGGACTTTTCTTTTTTTTTTGGTGGGGGAAATGCCAAGGAAAGGCTGACCGGGATATTCACCACAACCCAGCCCACAACCACCCACCAACCACCTAACAAACGTGACACGACTACATATTCACTTTAGTCTTGGATCCCCCTGACTCACCCGGTCAGCAGATGGTCGTCCTTTGAGTCTTTTCCTTTTTGGCCACTTGTTCAGTTTGGGCCCTGCTCACTCTGCGCGCCACATGGTAGTGGCCTACGTCTCGCTGATTCAAAGGACTATCACCACAAATCGCCGGTATCCACTGCGTTACTCGACCATCAAATCGTCCAGCCGGCCGCTTCAAGTAAGATATTCAGCCGTCATGGCGACGCCCGCACGTACCACTCAGCCGCCATGGAAGGAGCCAAAGTCCTCGAGTCCTGCAAAACTCAAGGTCTGGAATTCTCTTACGCGGTCAAAGAACGAGTTTGCACCCATCGATCCCCAAGGCAAACTGGTCAAGTGGTACAACTGCGGCCCTACAGTGTATGATGATGCACATCTTGGGCACGCGCGGAACTATGTCACCATCGACATCCTTCGCAGAATATTATCAGATTATTTTGAATACAAGCTTCTGTTTGTGCAGAACATCACCGATGTAGACGACAAAATCATTCTCCGTGGGAGGCAGCAGCACTTACTGGCCAAGTTCAAGAAGCAGAACCCTACAGTCACCGAGGAAGTCATCAACACAACCATCAAGGCTTTTGACGCATACGTCAAGAAGAATTTACCGCTACTAAGTGACCAGGTCAACATTGGCAGCTTCAACCAAGAATCCGCAGAGAAGTATGCCAACGTTATACAAGGCAAATCGGTAGATGGCACAGGGCCACCAGGCGACAAGGAAGCGAAGATTAAGATGCATCTCCGAACAGCCAGCACAGCAGTCACATCGCTACTGGCACCATCCAAATCAACGCCAAAAGACGTCGACAGCTTCTACTCTGGGGCCGAAGATGTCTTACTTCCCTATCTCGATTCTCTTTACGGCTCCACAATCGATGCCAGCGATCACAGCGTCTTTACAAAGCTCACCCAAAAGTATGAAGCTCGTTTCAACGAGGATATGCGCAGCTTGAACGTTTTAGATCCACACGTCGTGACACGAGTCACAGAATATGGAGACCAGATTGTCACCTTCGTCGAGAAGATTGTTGACAATGGTTTCGCCTACAAGACTTCAGATGGCTCAGTTTACTTCGACATTGACAGCTTTGAAAAGATTCCCGGAAACCACTACGCCCGTCTTGAGCCATGGAATCGTGGTGACAAGGGTCTGCAGGCCGATGGAGAAGGTGCTCTTTCAACGCAAAAGACATCAGAGAAACGCAGTGATGCAGACTTCGCATTGTGGAAGTCAAGTAAACCAGGAGAGCCTGCGTGGAATTCACCTTGGGGACCTGGTAGACCGGGTTGGCACATCGAATGTTCCGTCATGGCTAGTGACGTGTTAGGAAAGCAAATGGATGTCCATTCTGGTGGTATCGATCTCTGCTTTCCGCATCACGACAAGTAAGCTCCATGTCTTCCTCTTGTTTGACTTGCACTGACAATCTAGTGAACTTGCGCAGTCTGAAGCGCATTGGTCAGGGAAGGACGGTGGGCACCAATGGGTCAATTACTTTCTACACATGGGCCATCTCTCGATATCCGGCAGCAAAATGTCAAAGAGCTTGAAGAATTTCACCACCATTCGTGAGGCTCTAGCACGCAAGGACTGGAACGCTCGCAGCTTGCGCATCATCTTTTTACTTGGCGGATGGCATGACGGTATTGAGATCACAGACGACATGCGCAAGCAAGGCGCTTCATGGGAGAGCTACGTCTCCAACTTCTTTTACAAAGTCAAGGATCTCGAAGTACACCCCAACATGACCTCAACGACCACCGAAGAAGAGAGAATCACACAAGCATTTGAATCCGCAAAGACAAAAGTCCACAATGCACTCGCAGACTCCTTTGATACTCCGACTGCCATGCGCACCATCGCCCAATTGATCACCGACTACAACTCTGCCAGCAAGTCTGGGCTGTCAGATGGCCTCTCCTTCGACATCGCTCGCTACATCACGCGTATCGTCCGAGTCTTTGGTCTAGACGGCTCCGCCGACCCCAATGACGGCACTATCGGCTGGGCCGGTGTGGACATTCCCGCCGCAGCCAAACAATTCGTCTACGCTGTGTCCCGTGAACGCGATGCCGTCCGCCAGCATGCCATTGCAGGCGACCTTTCTGATGAAGTCCTCGAATCTATCTTATCACAAGATAGCGTCAATAAAAAGCAAGACATGGCCGCAATTCACTATGCAGAAGTCTTGTCCACTTTTCAAGAAAATCTGCGCGACTTGGCGGCCAAGAAAGCACCGGCGAAGGAGTATCTCAACTTGTGTGACCAGCTTCGTGACACACATCTCTGGAACCTGGGCATCTACCTCGAAGACCGCGAAAACGCACCCGCAATGGTGCGCCCGGTGGATGCGGAATTAGCCGCAGCACGCACACAAAAGGAAGCTATTGCCAAGCAGAAAGCAGAGGCAAAACTCAAGCGTGAGAAGGAGGAAGCGGAGAAGAAAGCAAGATTGATGGAGCAGGCCAAGATTGATCCAAAGGTCATGTTCAGGACGGAGGAGTGGAGCGCTTGGGATGAGGATGGAATGCCAATCAAGGACAAGGATGGGGTAGAGGTGAATAAGAGCAGGGCGAAGAAGTTGAGGAAAGAGTGGGAGAAGCAGAAAAAGTTGTTCGAGGAATTTGGCGGGGGCGGTGGTGTTTAGAGGTAGCAAGACACGGGCAAGGAGAATAAGAGAGCATTGGTGCATTGTAGAGATGCTCAAGGTGCTCCATGCATGTTGTCGTTGTGCTCAAGGATAAGAAATTGGGTAGACCCATTCATGCATTGCACTCTGGAAGCCACTCATTGCTTCTACAATAGGCTGGGTCCTTGGCTTCATGGTAGTCATCATAGACTATTCCAGCACGTGAACACTCTGACCAGAATTCAAACCCCTAGGGGTGATGTAGGGCAATTAGAAAAGTTTCGCCCTTTTGAACCTGAGTCAGGAAGGGATATAATATGATATTTATGTAACGGGAAGGGGGGGGGGGGGTTCTTTTTTGTACATCGTGAGCAACACTGGTGGTGGCTACGCCCACTCTACGCTCCAGTGGTCGGCTGATTCCCTTCTCTCTCACTTTCACCCACTCATCGTTTGCTCCTGCCCCGCGCTAACGAACTTATTATAATGTCCGCATACTACTCCTCGTCTGTTTTCTTCCATCTAACACTCACCTTGAACCGCAAAACTCACTTAGCACCTCATCTACACTCACCATGGATCCTCCACTGGCACCAACGCACACCAGCTCAGCGCCCAAGGGCCGCAACAAGCGCGCAGCCTCCGATACCTATCCACCTCCCCCTCTGAATCAATCTCATTCCGCCAAAATGGCTAGCACGCCGAATATTCTCCATCGTCACATCCACCGCAAGCGCAACATTGCTGCACCAATCTGGGGGTCTGACATTGCCTCCACGCCTGCTGCCTTCACAACACCTAGATCTCCCTCTACCTCTGTCCCCCCAAACCACACCTGCACCCCCATTAACCCATTCAACGTCTACAAAGCCTTACTTCGCCACCATAACCTCTTCTTCCAGTTCGCGCTGCGACTTCCTTATTCAGCTATCACCGCCCTCTACGCCATCGACAAAGAATTCCACTACCGCCTCAACAAGTTCAGCGTCAGTTTGATCCATGACTATGCCAAGTATCACGCTCCACTGGCCAGCTATATCTTTAGTTGGCGAGTGTACCCGCAGCTTTGCATTTCCGATCCCATGCTCCGGCCCATGGATCGACGCGAGTGGCTGGCACGCGACGTCCCAAGTTTTCGATGGGTGGGCATGGTACTGTGGCGGGAAAGCATTGTACGCAGTATCCTGACACTTCTGGGCCTTGAAGGTTTGAGATTGCCTGCGGGTGTGTGCGGCGCGGTGATGAAGTTCTGGAGCGTCATGGAGATGAAAACGCAGCGGCTGCGTATTTCCTTTCTGCAGGACCGCAACATCTGGACGGATGCGGATTTCTTTCATTTCCAGCACTTCCTTGTGAAGTTGGATATGCGGTTCACGGATACGGTGCTGGGCAATGGCGTTGGCGGTTTGAGTCATGCGTTGCTTACGCAGCGGAGCTTGGTGCCGCTGTGGAAGGTGCTGAATGGGCGCTTGGTACTGGACTATGACACCGCGACGGATATCGTCGTGCGTACCTATCTTGGAACCGATCTCGATACCGATGCGTATAGCTGGCTCGACGACGAGACTGAGAATGGGGTTCCGGTTGAGGAGTCGGGACTGCTGAGCAAGGAGGGATGGGAACTTGGTGGTAAGAAGATGGAATCTGTGGTGGATTTGGTCATTATGGAGAGCATAGAGCGCGGCCTCAATGTCCAGCAGTATTATCTGGATTTTGTATTACATGGGTTTGTAGATGAGGAAACGGGTAAGAATCTGCCGGCGCCGCGGCTGTGGAGGGGGGATAAGAAGGTTACGGTGCAGAAGGAGGGTTGGCCGAGTAAGGAGCTCAGGGAGAAGATGATTGCGGATTTGGATCGGGTATGTGGGATGGTGAACGAAGAAGAAGATGATGCAATGGACACGAGTGGCTAATTGCGTGCTTTGATGTACCGGATGGGGTCTGGAAGTTGAAGAGCGGGCTGTCCGAGGACGAATTCCATGCTGGCAAAGATATGAAGATATCAGACTAGCTTAGTTGTGCTGCCCACATCTCTGTGTACTATATACTTTACTCCAACGGAGAGCCTTCATCTACCCTACCCAGATCATCTCCGCCAGCATCACCTCCATAGAGCCTCCCAAAATCAGACGGCACCTCCACAAGCGGGATAGCCTTACCACCACTATGCATAACCATTCGCATAAACTCCTTTCTGATCAGCTCGTCCATATCTGCAAACACTTTCTCTACATATATATACACCACACACTTCACAACCTCCACCATCCACCCTCCACATTCTCTCACCTGCATGCCCGCGATCAACACCGCCAACATGGAGACCAACTGACTCCGCTCTGTCAGGTTATTTGTCTCTATTCTGGCAGAATACAGCCAGTCAGAGATGGAATGCCATAGACAGGTCGATTCGCACTTTAGGTAGTCCAGGAAGAAGCTTCGAATGTCATGGTAACGTAGTCAAAAGTCCTGTGTGCAAGTCTGCACATTCGCCACTCGCTTCCTGTAAACAGCGGCATGAAGCATAATCACGAAGTGAGAACAACACGAATATACAAAAAAACATGGCTGTTGTTTGATTTGAGATGGGCATCTGTCAAACATTTGAACTTCAAGCTAGTCCGTATATGCAGCGAAAAGTGGATACCCACCGCCTAACCGAAAGCAGAATGGTACGCCAAGCCCTCCGATGCAAATAAAACTCTGGCGATGCGTGCATTCCCCTTGCGCTCCTTCACGCACCATCAGACAGTTCAACGACCCATCTCACATGCCTCTCTACGTCTTGTATTGAGGTGTACCGAGTCTTTCCTATTGGGTTGTTGCGATTCAGCGCTGCGGAGAGGAAATATCAAGTGCTCCATTAGAGCTGGCTGCGCATTCTTTCGGTTGCGCAGGCGGTGTCATAGGAGCGGTACAAAATCATGCTTTTCTTGCAAGCTTGCTTCATCACTAGGTATTTTTCCCTGAATACATCTAGGGAGCAGCTTTGAAGGTGATGGACCGAGACGAGTGAGCATGCTTTATTTGTAGTCTAGCTGGCAGATGATCGCTGTGCTCGTACAAGTCTTCATACCACACCAGGTTGGCCACTCAAATGTCTGGATCTACTAGGACGGCTGAACGGCAAGCCAGTCGATTTGACCTTGTATTCGTCGTGTTCCACAAGGTTCACCACCATGAGAGTGATTGGAGGTGTTAGCACTTACCCATTGGATGGGACAAAGTGTGTTTACAATGAGAACGATGTATTTAACTAGACTCGGTCTCAAAGAGGCAGTCTTATCACTTCTCGACAACCCATAGATTCTCAGTGTCCTAAAACTCTCACATACACACTTCAACCTCTATGCAAGGTCTACCTCACGACCTCTCCGTTTTAGGATAACCTGTATACAATCCACTTTGGCCATCCCGTCTTGCCCCTTCATCTGCTGCTCCAAATCCTTGGCAACCCATACATCCTCGATATCTCTCATCACTCGCTTCAAGCTCGGGAACCGCTTCAAAGTGTACATGGCACCGAAACGATTTCGTACAAAGTCGCGTTGCTCCTCGTCAATGGCTTCGCAGCCTGCCGTGAACAGCGGCCACACGTGTGCAGAGGTAACAGGAGAGCTAACCTCTACTCGCTCAATGTATTGCAGACACCGCTTGACGTGATCAACACTGATGCGATTGGGTGCGCCGATATCGAGCCAGGTTCGGTAAAGGTAGATAAATGCTGCGTGTCTGTATGCCTCGGCCGTACAGCTAATATCAGAACCATTGACGGTTGCAGTGGTTGTCGAACACGTAAAGTCCATGGCAAGTAACCTCTGTTGGAGCTCTCTTCCAATAGCGTCTTCTTCCTCATTCAGGGCAGCTTCTTCTGTTCCTACTCTTCGCTGTCGAATCCTGTCCTGCAGCTCACTAATACGTGCCACGATCAGTAAAACCTTGGCGATGCTCTGCATGTCCCTCTCGCCTTCCACGGCTGCAAAGTCCGATTCATGGTTGATCAGTGGCGGCGCGCCCCTTGAGACTGATGACAGGATATCATGATATGCGAACAGACTCATAAGGAATCGGATACGAGATGACGTTGGCTGACTACCTTTACCAAAGTGCGCAATCATTGCTTTGGCACCCATGAGATGGTTCGCAACGCTTGCCTCGTCGTCATCGCCGAACAAGCGCGCAGAAACTTGCATCATCATCACAGTGGCGAGTGCTGGCTCCATTTCTACTTTAGTCGGAGCTCGAATCATATGCTGAAGTTCACGGATCGCATCTCTTTCATGTCGATGGGCTTGTATGGATAGTGTGACATCCCCCGACGCTGATGACATGTGGGCTGCAGCCATGGAGAGGATTGTAGAGCGGAGCGCTGGAGATTCGTACGCCATTGATGTCAAGTGAAGCTGGAATGGAGCCATGCCATTATGCTTTGGTGCAACGGAAATCAACGTCGAGAGTTGATCGATCCAGTAGTGAAGCAGCCACCGGTCAGCCGGGGACAATCCATATGTTGACTGCAGTGTATTTGGTAGCCTATCCATATTCCTAACCGAATCTGACGACGAGAGCAGATCTTGTGGGCTTGATATCATGGTGGGTGTTGATGAGATACTCAAAGTAGAGCTTGGACTAGATGTTGGTTCCGAACGACGAATCTGATTCTTCCTGGCTTTTTGAGGCGGCTTATTCGACGTACTGGCACCATCGTCTTGCCACTTCAACTTGATCCCATAGCCTTGGCATGTAATCTTCAATCTCATACATCGGCCACACCATGGCTTCTGTTCATCGCACTTGTACCCAGCTTCTCTGCACGTCCAGCACCCGGTCCGCGATCTTTTGTGTGGGGCCATGGCAGTGACTTGTGCATTTTTGGCCTATGTTGCATTGGCCCTGGAGAGCTCTACCTCGAGAGCTGATGTGTGTCTTGAAGTAATGGCGTTGGTGTCATGCCCATAGGATGAGCACATGAGCACATGTCTAGTGGAGAAGGAGTGCGGGCGGGAGGTGACTAAGACGGCTAGCGTCAGGGCGCGTGCACGGCGACTCCCAATTACTCTGGCATCACTGCCGAGTCTGGCAATGCGACGAGACAGAATCTCTTTGAAGTGCTCGTGTCCCACGCACAATGATCCGATAATCTGAGCCAGCGAATATAACCAAACTCCTTTCTTTCACTTATCACGATGGCGTCGGCGTTGTTCTTCCTCGACCTCAAGGGCAAGGTACGCTTGTGGGGTAATCATGCCCAAAGGGACGCCTACTGATACTGGCTATATAGACCCTTCTGGCGCGCAATTACAGGGGAGACATTCCCATGTCCGCCGTCGAAAAGTTTCCTGTGCTGCTCAGTGAGGCCGAAGAAGAGAGCTCAGCTGTACCGCCATGCTTCTCCGACGAAGGCATCAACTACCTCTACATCCGCCACAACAACCTGTACCTCCTCGCCCTCACAAAACGAAATTCGAATGCGGCCGAGATTCTTCTATTCTTGCATAAGATCGTCGAGGTCTTCACAGAATACTTCAAGGAATTGGAGGAGGAGAGTATACGAGACAACTTTGTAGTCATCTACGAGCTGCTGGACGAGATGATGGACTTTGGATACCCACAAACAACCGAGACCAAGATATTACAAGAGTATGGGATTTTCTGGAAAATTGATGTGTGAAATACTGCTAACAGACGGCTTAGATACATCACACAAGAGTCGCATAAGCTCGAAGTGGCACGGCCACCAATTGCAGTCACCAACGCCGTCAGCTGGCGAAGCGAAGGCATCCGGTACCGCAAGAACGAAGTATTCCTCGACGTCATCGAGTCGCTCAACCTCCTCGTATCCGCCACAGGCAGTGTGCTTCGATCGGAGATTCTGGGCGCTGTCAAGATGAAGTGCTATCTGTCCGGTATGCCTGAGCTCAGACTGGGCTTGAACGACAAGGTCATGTTTGAAACAACGGGCCGAGCGACGCGAGGAAAGGCTGTAGAGATGGAGGATGTCAAGTTCCACCAGTGCGTGCGGCTCTCGAGATTTGAGAACGACCGGACAATCAGCTTCATCCCACCAGACGGCGAGTTTGAACTGATGAGCTACCGACTCAACACTCAAGTCAAGCCTTTGATCTGGGTCGAGTGTATCGTAGAAAGCCACTCTGGCAGCCGCATAGAGTACATGTTGAAGGTGACTTGGCTCTTGCTTGACAAACAGAATCGTACGCTGATGAAAGCTTTAGGCCCGAGCGCAGTTTAAGCGACGAAGCACAGCCAACAATGTGCAGATTTCGATACCTGTACCTGAAGACGCCGATAGTCCACGGTTCCGAACGAACATTGGGACCGTGCACTACGCGCCCGAGACGTCTTCGATAGTCTGGAAGATCAAGCAGTTTGGCGGCGGCAAGGAGTTTCTCATGCGTGCCGAGCTCGGCCTACCTTCTGTGCGCGGAGACGACGACAAGGGTGGGGGTATGATGGGTGGCTTTGGTGGCAGCATGGGCGGTGTGGGGGCTGGAAAGGCCAAGCGACCGATTAATGTCAAGTTTGAGATACCCTACTTCACCACATCTGGTATCCAAGTGCGATACCTCAAGATCATCGAGCCAAAGGTATGTTTCCCTTCCCCCCAAAGATCAGCTCATCCTTGTATCGGCCTGGTCATTCTTGTTGGTTTTTGTGCTTCCGAGTAGACGAACTAACAATCGAGATAGCTACAATACCCTTCGCTTCCATGGGTGCGGTACATTACGCAATCTGGCGACATTGCCGTACGATTACCAGACGTGAATTAGACACAAAGTCTATGGATAGAATTTCCATGCACGGCGACGAAATATACCAATATAATCATGATGCAGACGATCAAAAACTTTCATCTTGTGCCCACCAAGCTGCATGCAGTCTTGTTGCAACACCGCCACACTGTACATGTCAAGTTTTCCCGTTTGTCAATTACAATCATCATTAGCTCTCAAGGACTCTTCTTTACGACTTTAGGCAGGCATGGAAAAAGATATCGACGATTAAATGTAGGTTTCGTTGTTGTCAATTGCTTCTATACATATGCCAGTGTATGGTCGTCTCGCACGGTCGCTGTACCATGTCAGTAACTCACATTAGTTTCTACTGAGACTGGAGACAATTACTGACCATTGAACCCAAGATGTACCTCTCCACCAGCCACGGCAGGCCCAGTAACCACAAGCTCGCCAACAGACCGCTCATCCGTTGTCTTGAGCTGCGGCGTGTCCTTCAACTTGATCTCTACACAGCTCAGGGGTACGCCAAAATGGCTGTGCTTGTTGGCTGGTGTGTTGCCTGTCCTGTAATCATAAACATTAGTCTGTGCGATAGCGCCTGCAACTTTGGCAGCTGTCAAGGCGTAGACTACACGGGCTTGGGTGTAGATGCGAAGATCGGAAAGATCCTCTGAGCTCAGTGGAGGCGTATTGTGGCCGGCACGCTCCGAGACGAAAATGAGCCGTAGCTTTCCTGGCGTGCTGCCAACATTGGCCCTTGTTGGTGGGTTGAGCTTTGATAGTAGCGAATCTGTGGGTAAACGACCGGATTGGAGAATGCGTGATTCGAGATAGTGAGCCAGCTTCTTTGCTCCACTTGTGATGGAGACGTTTGTAGTGCTGTGAAGTTTGGCAGCCGTCTCAGCAGAGATGACGGTGACTGTGGGCGCAATGGAGCGGCTGGCTAGCGTCAGGTCGACACCTGGACCTGCAACCGAGTTGATGATGACGGTAGCATGGGAGAAGAGCGCGGCCAGAGTTAAGCATAAGCAATACGAGTTTGTAAAGGCATCAGCCGGAAGGAACGTGTCCGAGGGGTTGATGCGAGGCGCGGGCGGCAGAGCAGTAATCAAGGCACCGATGGCAGCGGCCAAGTTCTGGTCATGTTAGCAAAAGGAACGTGTCCACAGTGGTGAGGCAGAAGTACCTGTTGGGTGAATTCGACCACTTCGGCTGCTTTACCAGGAGCCTCCTGCCAGACAAAGGCAACGCTGGGCGCCTTGTCCTTGTTCGCAGGCAGCTGCACAGCACTGGTCTTTTGCTCTAGCACGAGCTCGTGCCATACGGAAACGTCAATCTTCCCGCCGATACCTTGGGGCACCTCGCTCCAGTCCATGTGTCTGCTTGTCTCCTCGACCGTCCATACAATCTGTCGGAGACCTGGAGCGCCCTTGCCGACCTCGGCGAGTGAGATGGAGCCAGCTGCCGCAATCAACGCGTCAGCGCCTGTGCTGACCAAGAGATCCACGAGGGTCGGGTGTGGTTGGTTGAAGGGAATCAGGATGGGAGTGAAGCCGTAGAAGGCAGCGGCGAAGAGGACGGCCAGGAACTCGACACTGTTGGGCAGGTAGACAGCCACTCTCGTCGCACCGTGGTCCTTCAGGTGGCTGCCAATAATGGCTATCTCCTTGGTGATGTCGTCAACGGCGTGTTCGGAGACGCCCTCCTTGCCCCGGACCGTCATCAGCGTTGCTGTCCCGCTAGATTTCTGTCCCTTTTCCAGGGGAATCTCGCCCGTGACGCGCTTCCAGATGTCCTGCAGGTCGCCATCCTTGCCGGCAGAGTACATGGGTGCGCCGGGTATCTTGACGGCGAGGCCGGTTCGGAGGGGATAGCCATGAGGCGTTTCGGGCGACCTGAAGATGGCCGACTCTCCCGGTTGGCGCACGTATGAGGCCTGCGCCTGTCTAGCAAGTAGCAGTGGGTGAGTGTCGGCATCTTTGCTATCGTAAATGACAAAAGCAAGGAAGGCGAGCATGGCAAAGACGAGGAGAGTGGAGTAGATGTTCCATGTCGCCAACTGGTCGGAAATGACTGCATCGAGCTGGTCGAGAAGGCCGGGCATGGTGGTTCACTGAGATGTGACTCTGATCATGGGAGGGGAAGGGAGGGGAGGGGAGGGCAGGGGAGGGGAGCGTGGGATGAACGGTTGCTAGTGGGACCACAGACACCCGCGACCGCGCCAACAGAAGCTCCGTGCCGACGGACTTGGGGCGAACCGGCACCTAACCCACTCTAGAGTAGTCGTTGCACGTCGGCCAAAACAATCCACTGCATCTCCCATCAACACCCCACAACCACAACCACACCCACGCCCAGTCACCATGTCACGATAACGACACCTGCTATAACCCGCGAGCGACTTGCTACTACTAACCACTGCCAGCCACTAACCACACACCCAGACGGCAGCCAAACAAACAACAGAGGTCAATCAACACGCCCACATCTCTCCCTCCCTCTACCTCTCCCTCTCTCTCTCTCTCTCTTCCTCACACACACACACACAACACCAAAACTTCCTTCGCCATGTCTCTAGCTCGAGTCGTACAGCAGCCCACCACGCCCAAAACCCCCCAAACACCCACGGCAACAACCGTTCAGGGTATAGAGACGCCCAACGGAGCCTGGCGCCATCCCAAATTCGATGAGATTGCCCAGCGCCAGTACGCGACAACATTTGACCAACAAAACGTCCACACCATAGTCGTATCCTCTACTCTCTTGTTCCTCTCCTTCTACGGTAGCGCAATCACCTCGCAGCTCAAACTCCTCAGCTATGCGGCGTACGTCTTCCATTGTTCCCCATTCAGATGATCTCCTCTGTCGAAGAACAAAGTCCAACTAACACCACCATCCCCACCAGCACCCCGATCAACGCCCTCATATCCTACATCCCTCTCACCTCATGGATCCCCCTCCTCATCCGCACAATCTTCGTCGCCAACATTGTTGCAAACCTCTGGCCCTTGATCCGCCGTTACAAACCCGACGACATCGTTGACATCCCCCTCACGCCCTCGCAACGCGCCGCTCTCGGCTTGAAGACCAACGTCCCTTTGGCACAAACCCCCGGCTCCGCCTATGCGTCCCCAAACTACGTAACACCGCCCCGCTATGCGCGCTCCACTCCGCGCAGCAGCAGTTTCGGCTCCCAAGATCACAGTGCAAGTCCGTTTGCAAGGAGCAACTCGGGGAGCCCGTTTAGCCCTGGACAGAGCAACATGGGCGTCAGTACGAGCAGTCCGTTGTTCCAGCGCGCCATGGGGTCGTCGGCGAATAAGCGGGCGAGTTATAGTGGTGGGAGCGGTGGGGGTGAGCTCGGCAGCAGCTTGTTCAGCGGGAGCGAGAGTAGTGGGCCGGGTACGCCGACGCCCATGATGGGCAAAGCAAGTGTGGGCTTGAACAACAAGTGGCTGTATGAGAAGCGAAGGGATAGTCCGAGGAGCAGTTTATTTGCTTGAGAGAGAGAGAGAGAGAGAGTTGCATGAGTGTGTGTGTAGAGGTGTGAGATGAGATGAGACAAGAGGACATGCATCACATCGCTGTATACCCTATTATGCTGTATATCCTGTTCTATCGTATGGCGTTTTGGTGGAATCGTTCAAAGTAAGCCATGCAAAGTTCAATCAGACCAGTATCGGGGATCAAGTCTAGACATCCATGTTCATTGTCCTCTTCGCATCCTGCCCTTTGCCTTTTTTCTTTCGACTACCTTCATTCCATGTACTTGTACAAAAAGAGTGGAGCCTTGTCCCATCGGCTCCCCGCCTGTGCCTTGAAATCTAGTATACACACACTCTCTCGCTCTCGCTCTCAATTTGTTCCACGCTCAAGCTCACGAAAACCTGTCCCCCCTCCTACTCCTATACGCCTCACTAGCCTCATACTTGCTCTTCTCCCGCGCCCTCTGCTCCTCACTCTCCGCCTCATGCCGCGTAGGCGCCGGATCGCGACTCGCCTCTGCACTCGGGCCCGACTCGTCCGCCCCTCCTTCGCCCCTCCTCCTCTGCATCTCGCCCAGCACACCGCCCGGGGCCGTCGTAGCCGTCGGGTTCAGCGGCGTCGTCGCAGTGCGCTGGGTGCCCGAGGAGGACGAGGCAGTGAGCGACTTTTCCAGCTCCCACGCCCGCTGTCGCTTTTGGCGGTCTAGTTCGGCTTTTTGTGCCCGGTCGGCGTTGATGCTGCGTTTGGCGAAGAAGTAGGCGCCGCCGCCGGCGACGATGAGGGTCGCCCAGCCGTAGCTGGTGAGGAGGGATTTCGGTTAGTTTTGTGTATTTTTGTGTGTGTCTGCATGTGTGGGCATAGGGTACTAGGGTAGGATGGTGGGTTGGAGTCATCTTCTTCTCTCCTCATAGGCTGGGTCGGTCGGTGACGTACTATACTGATTTTATCTAATGGGCAAATTGCGCGTCAGTTCAATGATGCAAGGCTCCCAATTGCGACATGTCTTGAACCTACCGTGTTCATCTTGTGTGGTTTTCTGCGTTCCGTTTGCTAGTAGAAGTGTGGGTGAGAAGCTTTGATTGAGTTTGTTGTGCGCCACAGATTTTGTGAGGTTGTGTTTAGTGATGAAAGTGGTCTGATTCCGTAGGGCTGACGGGGTTTGCCTGGGAGTTGGCTCGGCGATTGGACGGAGATAAGACCACGGCATCTACCATTCCCTACGTTCGTCGCGGGAGACTCACTCTGCTCCGTCTTCAGGACAGCCATTATCGTGTGGTCAACTATGTTGATGTAATTTGCTGAAGTCTCCTGTCAATACTGTTTCACCTCAAGTTGGTTACGAACCTTGACATTCAGCCGATCCTTCATCACTCCATAAACCCATCACCACTTCTTTTCCACGACACAACACAGGAAGCTTTCTGACAAGAAAAGGTGACGTCATATTGCACTGGACATATACTTCTCATGGATAACCGGCCAAAAGACATGTAAAATGAATGCTAGTAGCTCGAGCTAACGTCCACTGCCGTTTCCTCTCCTTGCGATGATAGTTCACGCCGTGAACTGAGCAATGGGATATCCGCAGTTCCAAGACAGGGACAGTTGGCCGTATGTGTCATCGGCAGTATGACCGGAACGTGTTGTGGCCTCCGCAATCCCGGAAACCCTTAACCGCGGCAATTCCGCATATATACCCCAAGTGGCTACCCGGCTGGGGACTGGTACCCGATGTGGGGTAGCTCTTGGGTCTCTCAAGTTCCCGAAGCTGCATCCTCCGACATTGATGCGTCTGGATTCAGGAGTCAGAGTTATCATCTCGAACGTCAATCAGGCCTATTGGATATCCTCGTGCTGTATTCAATCCTCTAGAACTCATCACTGATTCCCATCTCGAACCCGACTGTCCTTGCCCGTCCTCACCATGCCCATTCGCCGCGTAGCATTGTTCAAAGTCCGCAAGGAAGAGGACCGTCAAAAGCTTCTCGACATGTATAACGCCATGTCGACCAAAGCTGTCAAGGTACATCCGTTCCTTGCATTGGCCTTGTGTACCTGATGTTTACTTTCCGTTCCCATTTTCCTCAGAGACCCCACCTTCACACCCTAACATCATACAATAGAACGGCCGCCCCTACATCCGCTCGATAGAAGCCGGCCCCACTCAACAAGATGCGCGAGCACAAGGCTACACCGTCGCAGCCACTTCCATCTTTGAAAGCGAAGAGGATCAGAAGTACTACGATGAAGAGTGCCCGGCACACGCGGAGATGAAGGCGGCTGCAAAGGGTTTTGTTGAAGGGATGCTTATGGTGTACTTTGCTGTTTGAAAAGGAGGCTCAGGAGCTTGAGGGAGATGGCAGGTGAGGGTGGGGAGGATAGAAAGAGAGAGAGAGAGAGAGAGAGAGTTAGACATCTCCTAATGATGCCAGTCTTGCGTGGAACTCGCCGTCTCGTAATGTTATGTGGATGGGTGACTTGATTCTGGTGTTTTGTTGTGTTCCTACCTTGGCAACGTCGAGGCCGTTTGCCATTCACACCTTTGCCCTTGAACGCGCAGTTGCGAGTCCAACCTCAGCAGCATAACAGACATTTCCTGCACAGGTTTATTAATTAATTCGTCGCTCCAGTTTCTCCTCACAAACCTCAGTCCGTGAGCGAGATGGACGTGTTTAGTGGTGTGTGTTTTTCATGTAGGCAACAGAAGCATGCATGCATGCACGGTAGGTATTCGCCCAGGTCACCCGCAACCTGCGAGCCAATCAACAGCGGCCAGTTACTGCTGACGAGGCTGACGAGGCTGACGACAACCCACAACCCGCTTGCAGAGGATGTCGTGATTCCCAGTTCACCCGATTGTGCCGTGCCGTCAGCATATCCCGTCGTGGGCAAAAGGGAGTTGCAGGGCGGGAGAAGCTTCTGCCGCAATGCGCGCTCGGTCGAACGAGTGTGGTGTGATTTGAATGGACCGAGTTTCTCCCTTTGAGGAATTGCCAACAGCCATCTGATATGATGGACACAGGGCCTGACCCCCACTACCGGTAGTCGGTAGGTATATAAACTTCGCAAAGGCTCCTACTCTGGCCAGCTAACCGTGTCTGTGCCTGTGCTACGACGTTACTTTGGCCTGGGAACCCGCAAACACTCGCACGACTTTCTGTCTTCTACCGGTACTTTGTACTGTCGTTGGGACCGGATTCGACCCCACAACCCACCACACCACTCCTCTCCATCCAAGAAGCCACCCATTCGAGCCCCACATTTGCTGTCTTCGTACACCACCAACCGCCTCCATCGGTACAATATAGCAGCACATCCGTCGTCCCCTTGATCAGACTGTCTGCCGATTGTTCTTGCAACCCTCTTCTTCTTTCCATTTGACGAATCACCATTGTACTTTCTGCTCTTCTCGAAATCCAACCTCATCCACACAATGGCAGCCATGTCAACACATGCCATGACCCAAATCAGGCGCTACTCCTCACAGCTACCACGCGACCCACACTACCGACTCAAGGCAACACTGGCAACCGGCTATGTCGTCTCCGCCCTTGCCCTGCCTTTTGTACCCCCGCTTCTGGAGACACGAAGGGCAAAGGCTGACGGCAGTGATCTGACCAAGTGCGTCGTCCTCCCCACGCTTTTTGGCTGTTGTCGGATAGACCTGCTCGTACTCGAAGAGGTGGATTGCAGCTGACGACCAAGCACCTAGGGAGAATGCATATTGCTCATCACAGTATCTTGGACACGCGAGATGATCGCCCTACCTACGTTTTGTTTTCCCTTGGAATCGACTTGGCCCGCGTCGCAGCCCAAAGAGCTGCATGCAAAGGCCGACTGCCATGCATTTCTTCGTGGGCCGCTGAAATGGGAACGGCATGGAGCATTGAGTCCGTCGAGAAGGCAAGGAGTCGTAGAGTAGCACATGAAGAACAGGTCTATTGGGGGGCTGATTGTGATTATTAGGATTGTTGTTGTTTGTTATTATTATACCACAGGCGCGCATGGATTGCATGCAGATGGCGTTCGTTGACGGGATGGATTCTCGCAAGCAACATGGTAATTGCTGTGGGCTACCGAAGAGAAGAAGATGGTCTTGCACATGGAGGGAATGAAGAGATGCAGCAGTTTGTTTTCCATCCATGCCGAGTCCTTGTCCTTGTCCTTGTCCTTGTCCTTGTCCTTGTCCTTGTTCCTCTCTAGCTGGACTGTCCAGTTGAATGGTCGGCCAGCGTGGTCTTGCATGATTGGCAGCTGGCGGTGCCCCTGTAAACGACGTATATAACCTCATGCGCTCGGGTGGTTTGAGTATCATGTGATCTGCCACTGCTACATCCTGGCTGTTTTGATGGCACAAGACAAGTAACGTGATCCTCAAACTAGCCGAGATTGCTTAGTAAGTCGGACAACCCCGCGATCCGACAACCCTCCCCCTCCAACGATGATTTTGCTGTAGAATCATGAATTCATCTTCCTTGCCTACCAATCCACAACCCCCCCTCATGCCACCAAAGTTGGAAACACTACCCAGCTCTTCCAGCGGGTGAAGGTCCATCTCCAACACAGCACAACTGCATGCGCAATGGCTTCCGGCTTGCTGCGCAGTGCGGACAGCAGCCTGCCGAATGAACTCGCCTTCCTCATCATCGATCACCTCACCGACGACCGGCAGACACTCTGCGCCCTCGCCCAGACCTGTAGCAACCTGCAGTATCTCGCAGAGGACCGCCTCTACAAGACCATCCACCTCCTCTCCGTCAAAGACCTCCACGCCATCATCGCCGCCTTCACCAACCGTCCTGCCCGCGTCCGCGCCGTACAGACCCTGCGCATCTTGTATCAGTACAGGCAGAATGACCTCAACAAAAGTGCCGATTCTAGGACGGCCTTTAATGAGTTTGTCGCCCAAATGGTCCATTTGCGAGCTTGGCATATCGAGAGCCCGTACGACAACTTCCACTGGGAAAAGGCCGGTGGAGATGCATGGGTGGAGCGGGATATGGAGAGATTCCGTCGCGCGCTGGAACAGGCTTGCAACGAGGGACCAAAGGAGACGGAGCGCATAGCATCTGCGAGGGGTCTGGGCCAAAGAATGGAGAGGACCGTTGGCCTCGCCTTGCTGCAAGACCTGACGATCCATTCCCATGGGGCTACCGCCGACTTTTGGAATCTTGATGGCTTCCACTGCCTCTTTCGACATCCTGCCCTTCGGAGCCTCCATATCTCGTGCATCACCCTGCCTCCCAACGAGATCCCGGAACTCAGTTCGCATGTCAGAACATCACCTCTGACAACCCTGGTCTTCGATGAATGCGAGCTCTCGCAAAAGAGTCTGCTTAGCATCCTCCGCACCCCAGCGCGACTGAAGAATTTGACGCTCGGAGAAAATGTCTACAACATAAACCGCACTCGTGGAATCGAGCCAGTCCTCTCCATGAATCCGACTGCTTCACTAGAAACTCTCTCCGCTGTCGCACATTCTCTGGAAAGCCTCACACACTTCGATCCAGCATGGCGAATAGACACGAGCCCAAACGTGCTACGCAGCATCCGCCCCATTGGCGAGGGTATGCGAAATTTCGACTCCCTCCGATATCTCGAATGCGATACGAGTTCCTTCCTACATCAGGCCGTCATCATGAATCGTGATCTAGCCCCCCCTAGCCTGGACACACTGCGCGTTCGCCGCCATTGGGAGGTTCAGACTGATTTCTGGGACCAGCCACCAGATATAGACCACTACCTGCCATTGCCGTCGCTCAACACACTCGAGCTCATGCAATTGTCATTTCTCTGGCACGATTACGCGCTCTCGGGCTACATTTGCGATGCTGAGCGGCTTCGCAACCGTCACGCAAAGGCCTACAGACTGTCCAAGGCTGGCATCAACTTGAGGATGCTCATAGAGATGCACAGGGATCCCGCACTCATCCCACCCTATCTCCAAGATGAACGTGTCCCCATTGTAGAATGTATATATGATGCGAGCGAAGAAGGATTCCATCGACATATTGTGGTTGACGAACCCGAGACCGCTCAGCCAGAGCCCTACTTCTCCGGGAACCATGGCACACCATACGATGATGATGATGAATGGAACTCCCCCGCTCGCTCGCCCAGCCCACAACCTTCTGCCAACCGTGCCGTCAGCCCCTCGCCCGATCCCGTTCCCTCCGCACCCCCACCCGAAACTGACCAACTCAACACCGCCGACATCCAACGCATCGCCTCGTCGACCCGCCGCCTCCTCGACGCGCTCAAACGCCGGTTCGTGAGCCGCAACCGGCGCCCGAGCTTCTGGGACGTGAGCATGAGCTCCGACGACGGTATCGAAGAGGACTCGGAGTACTATGGCATGGGCGACTTGGAGGTGGATGATTTGGAGGAGCAGGAGGACATGGCGTTGGAGATGGAATTGGATGATCTGGAAGAACTCGAGGATGAATTCGAGGATGAGGGTGGAGTGCATGTCTATGAGCATGAGGGTGAGTTGTATATTGAGGTCTATGAGAGTGAGACGGGGAGTGAAGGGGAGAGTGATGAAGAAGGGAGTGGAGGTGGAGGTGGAGGTGGAGGTCCAGGTGGAGGAGCAACAATGCATGACGTGAACGACGAGGACTGAATGAGCCGGCTGTGTCAAAAGGCCAGCACAGTATAATGCCGTCAAAAAGTTCTTTGGAGAGTACTCTGCAGTGAGGACAAGCATTTCTTTTGCCATCGATTCTGGTAGTACGTTTGTGTTGTTAGCATGACGGAGAGGATAGATTATTTTCTACAAACACATGTATATAATACGTAGTTACAGGTAATGACGATATGTTTCCCTCGATTCCATTTGAACCTCTATCCTGGCTAACGAGTAGATGTTAGGACACCGAGCTTAGGATCAATACTTTCTATTTAAACTCGGCGCTAATGCACCCCAGCCTCTCGCCCTCCCCACACCTCGGCACGAACCTCGACCTTTCCCCGCGGGAGTGGGCTTAGCCGACTTGCCTGCTTGGCTACCAGCAAGCAACGACGTCGAGCATGTTGGGGATTCCTACATGAAATCCGTGGTTGCCCCACTTCCTTGAGTACTTCATCATTCGTCCTGAACATGTACCGGTAGTTGTTGGCTTCCAGGTCAAGAACGGTCAAGGGGAACTAACTAGCTGTGGATTGAATCACATGCAGACAGACACACCATACAGTCAATGTACACCATGCCAGACTACCACCCACCACCTTTGTCCGGCCTGCGCGTCCTGGAATTCGCGGGATTGGCACCAGGTATGGACTTTTCATCCTCCCCTCAATATACCACCCCCTAAACCTCCAACTCACCTTCTCCCCCCCCCCAAGGCCCCTTTGCCGGCCTCCTCCTCGCCGACTACGGCGCCTCCGTCCTCCGACTCGACCGCGCAACCATAAGCCCCCAGCCCACGGCGGACCAACTCACGCGGCGCAAAACCTCGATCCGGGTCAACATCAAGAGCGCCGCCGGCGTCGCCCTCGTCCAGCGACTTGCGCGCGAAGCCGACGTCCTCATCGACCCGTTCCGGCCGGGCGTGCTGGAGAAGGCTGGACTGGACCCGGTCACGGTGCTGCGCAGGATCAATCCGCGGCTCATTGTCGCGCGCATGACGGGCTTCCGTCGCGATGGCAAGTACAAGGACATGGCCGGCCACGACATCAACTACATTGCCGTCTCCGGCGTGCTGTCCCTGTTTGGCCGCCAGGGCGAGCGGCCGTATGCGCCGGGGAATGTGGTGGGCGATTTCGCGGGCGGCGGTGCCATGTGTTTCATCGCCATCTTGCTGGCTTTGTTGGCGAGGGAGCGGTCGGGCCGCGGCCAGGTGGTCGAGGCGAATATGGTGGACGGGAGTGCAATGTTGGCGACGATGCCGAGACTCGGGGGCAAGACGCCCGTGTGGAGTGCGGAGCGGGGCACGAATCTGTTGGATGGCGGTGCGCCGTTCTATGACACGTACGAGACCAAGGATGGCAACTTCATGGCCGTGTAAGTTCTCGGGCTTTCGTTCACGCCAGAGCCAGAGCAAAGGTGGGTAGCGATACTTGCTAACCCTCCCCCCCCCCTCTCTCAGCGGAGCCATCGAACCCCAGTTCTATGCCGCCCTCCTCCAAGGCCTCTCCCTCACCCCGTCCGACCTCCCCGGCGACCGAAACAACAAGTCCGACTGGCCGGCGCTCAAAACCTTCTTCGCGTCCGTCTTCAAGACCAAAACTCGTGCAGAGTGGGAACACATTTTTGACGGCACAGATGCCTGTTGTACCCCTGTTCTTACCCAGCGTGATCTCGAGGCACGTGGCTTCGATCAACGACCTGCGGTCACATTGCGGGAGACACCGGGGCTGGCAATCACAGAAGGGGATGACGACAGGAGCGCGGCTGAGGGACAGGGGATTGGTTGGGAGGGGAGTGGGTGGGTGGAGAAGGGATTGGTGCCGGGCGAGGGCGGGGAGGAGACGATTGAGAGGTGGATGGGGTGGACCAAGGGGAGGCATTACGAGGAAGTGGACGGGGGTTTGGGCTGGAAGGACAGGTCTAAGCTGTAGACTGGACTAGAATAGACAAGGTAACGGTCTCTTTTACCAAGGTTTGTACCTGTAACACACCTCTGTCGCACGCCATGTCCATGACCCATCACTTCTTAATCACCCTCGGCTTCCTCGCCTTTGGCTTCGCAGTCTTCTTGCCCGCATTCCTCAACCGCTTCCTCTGCTCATTCTCCGTAATCCTCGCCTTGCTCTTGCGCCACGCCGCCCACCGATTTCCCGGCACAAACTGCTTGACCTGCACGCCCGCCCTCTCCGCCGCCCGTCCAATCTGCCAATTGGCCTCACGATAGGCATACCCCTTGCCCTTGTTCAGTACCAACTTCTTCCTCGCCGCCTCACGCGGTGTATCCCGCCTCTTTGACTTGGCGGTTGCCACGGGCATCACGTCCGTCAGGACAATCGTCTCATGCTGCGATGGCGGGGCTGCCGTGTCCTGGGAACCCACGGGCACAGCAAGCATGTTCAGCCGGCGTCTGCGCGCCGCATTGGGTGGATAGGGCAGCGAGTGGTCCTTTTCGAGCGCGACGCCAATGTACTGGCGCTCGGGGTGTTTGCGGGGGTCGCGGTAGTATCGCACGTAGCCTGATTCCGTGGCGAAGATGCAGTGGTCCCGTCCGAATTTGCAGTTTTCGCCGGGATACCAGTGGGTACCGCGTTGGCGGAAGATGATGTTGCCTGGGATCACGTATTCGCCTGCATCCCAAGCATTAGCAGTCTGGCGTTGTGTGCTATAGTATCCATCATGGATGCCATCTCATGTACACAACACCACCACCCTTGGTGTTGTGTGTGTGTGTGAAATGGCATCCGGCTGATTCGAGAATAGACGTACCGCCGCTCTTCTTGGCCCCCAATCGCTTTCCCGGCCCATCTTTTGCTCCATTGGCACGCCCCTGGGCCTGGTGGGCAGAATGTCTTACAAACGAAAGGATTGGGGCGGGCGCTGTAGAGGATGCATTGGCGCTCCGGAGCACGTCCAGGACACGGGTAGACGGTGCAATAAAAGTCGACGATGTGGCTATGGCTGCGCGGACAGGCGCATAGATTCGTGGCAGCAGCATGACGCGCTGTCGCTGGTGATGGTCGACAACGTCGTATTCCCTTCTTGGTCGTTGCTTGCTCTCGACACTTTCTTCTGGCTGGCCATGGACGAACGTGGTCCGGGCGCGAAAATGGCTGCCAATCTTGGAACTAGCGTCCTTCCCAAACACGTGCAAACAGAGACGAGCCAGTCAGTGTATACAAAGTCCCGTGGGCAGCACAACACCAAGTAGTCAGGTAATTAATAGTATACACAAGCATACAGCACCAGTCCATCACAAACATTTTCCAGGTCAACTCATCGCACAACTTCGGACACGCACAAGCTAAACTCCCAGTCTAGTGCCGCCAACACCGTACGAACAAGTGCTCGGTAAAACCCACACCTCCACCCCCCCTGGCTCCACATCCGCCCATTACTGCACCTGGTTCACAATCTCCTGTGCCTTTGATAGACTCTCCACCATCTGCAGACAGTCTTTCCGCCTCCGGACGGTGTACTCTGATTCCTTGAGCAAATCGTCGAGTTCGTCCGTCTTGTACATGTTGGTGAGGAGCTCGCCTTGCATGTTCTCCTTTGTCCATTGCACCAGGTTCAACATGATGGCTTTAGGGACCATGTCGATCATCGTTCGACGCACAATGTTGAAGTAGGAAGTGATGAGCAGTTCTGTAACCATGGTTAGGATTGGCTACGGCATTGATTGCGAGCATTGCTTACTGATGACTTCCACTTCCTGCGTCTCCTTCTCTGAAAGGGTACCAGAGGCCTTGAGAGTGGGTGGCGGAGGTTCCATCGCTGCCATCTTCTTCTTGTTCTTGCTAGCAAAGAAGGAGCCGAAGAAACCCCCACCCTCGCCGTTGGGATCTCCCAGCGACGGTGATATCGACCGCGGAGGTACCGAGGGCGGTAGTGGCTTGCCAGTCTTGGGGTCTACTTGCTGCGGCTTAGCGCTATTGTGTCGCTCATGGATAATGGCCATGGCTCGCGAGCCATTGATGAAGTCGGGGTGGCCAGTGTTGATGTAGGTAGCCTCCATGGCCACAAGATCCTTGACGAGCTTGTTGGTTGGCTCCATGGCCTTCTTGAAGAAGGCCACCACCACAGCGTGGAGCTTCTCCTTGAGTCCAGGATATCTTCGGAACGACGTCTTGCTGAGGAGCTGGCCGAGGATGCGAATCAGCTCGTCATACACCAAGCTAGCACACTTGATACTGGGCTCTTCTAGTCGCTTGATTTGTTGCTTGACGATGAGCTCAAAAGCAGTGGTGCCAACGAACAACGCTGGTGAGGAACCGGAAGAGTTGTACAAGACGGTACGGATGTCGACGTCCTTGACCTGGTCGAATGGATCCACGGCCTTGACACCATTCGCATATAGTTCGTGGTAAACGAAAGAGATACGAGCACCACCTGACAGCTCCGTCGCTGAGAGCTCTTGATTGTTACCCTCAAGAACCCCCCGATACTCGTTTGTAAACTCTGTGATGGTGTTGAGGACAATATTCGAACTGCTTCCCAGCATGGAATTCCCAAGCGACGCGAGTTCTGCCTGGTACTTCTGCAGCGAAGACGAGATGCGTGCCTTGATGTCAGGAAGCGTTTGCTTGATGTGCATCATGAGGATCTTATGCAATTAGCTTCATGTACTCTAGTCAACGTTTTTTTTTGGATACGTACCAGATTCAGCTTGCGCGCTAGATAGGGTGTTCCACAGTAGGCAGCCTTATTACGGTATGCCTTGTGGTTTTCGAAAAATTGCCTTTCGTGCTCGAGCGCATAGGAAATCGCCTTTTTATTCTCGATATCCCTCTGCCCTCGGTTGACAACAGGAACGTAACCCAATCGAAGGGGGATAATCCGTCCAGCTAGAATATCGACAACATCGGTACCATCATCCATCAAATCGACCTTTGTCAATACACCGATTGTCCGCTGTCCTTCTGGATCGACCTCTCGTGCCAGCTTCAGACCGTCCGAGTTGGCCAAGTCAGTATTCGCCGCGGTGACGGCTAATATGATGGCGTTGGACTTGCTAATCTGCTTGAGCACCATCTCTCGGATCTGTCGCTCGATATCCCTCGGCTGGTCTCCAACAGGCACCTTCGTCAGACCCGGTAGATCGACCAGCGTCAGGGTCAGCACATTAGGCGAGTATATCCGCAGGTTGATGGGGGCTGGTGAGATACCCGCATTGCGACCCGTTTTTGACTCCGTCTCCCGTACAATCTCTTCCCTAATCTTGTTGAAGTCGTGGAACTTTTGGCCAGGGATGTGCAGGAACTCGCCCCATTCGTCGGCGTTGTTCTGTTCGCTGGCCGACTTGGCCTCTTCGCTGACGCCATTGGTTTGTGAGCCGGCCGCGCGGTTGATGAGTTGTAGAATGAGCGGTCTTCGCGTCACGATACCGGTTCCTCGGGGCAAGCTGTTGGGCCCGACGGTCAGTATGCTGCCCAACGAGTGAAGCGCAAGAGTGCCAGAACTCACAAGTCTCGTCCGACAATGTTCTCGAGCACAGAACTCTTTCCACTGGATTGCGATCCTACGACGGCGATTTGTGGCAAGTCTATGGGGTTTTGAACCTGACGTAGGCATCAGTATAGACGTTGCAGAAGTCGGCGTGTAGAGGGCGCAGAGGGGGGGCTTCTGGGTAGCAACATACTCCTACAGTTGTAAAAACATCCTGGAGCTTATTTACAAGTGTAATCAGCCCTGGGTCATTCACGTTGATGCTGTAGTTCCTGTTAGCTGTGTAGCTTTTGGGGCCCTGGGAGGGGCTATGCTTTGGCATGTGCGTACGCATTCGGGTTGGTCGCCATGGTGGGCGAGGCGGTATTCGAGTTTCTAGTTATATGTGTGGTATGCGCACAGGTTCGAGTACAAAGCTCAAGGTGTGTGTTATCAAGGTGGGAAGAAGGCGAATACGCTGTAACACTCGGCGTCGTGTTGGGTTGCGTAGAGCTCCGCGCTAGACGCCACAGCACAGCCACAACAAACCGGCGAACTGTATGGAAACGGTCGGGTTGGACGTGTGCTGCGCCAGGTGGTTAATACTAGGTATGGTAGAGTTGCGTATATTCGCCTTGGCACGAAAAGAGGAATTAGGCAGTGAGATACACTCCAGAGAAGCAATGGCGTAGCAAAAAAGAATCATGGCTCAGTAAGACTTCCTTGGGCTCATGACGACGCTTGCGGTCACAGGATGCGAAGCAGCGTCGTCAGCGGTTCAGGCATCAGCTTTCGTGTCTGGGTCGCACGGTACAATTCAGATTCTATATACTTGGACATGAACGGGACAAGTTCGCTATATAAATACTGGAGACGACCATTCACTCGTCTACAACAGACGCAAACTTGTCTGTCATCTTCTGCAGAAGCTCCTCGTACTGTTGCAGCGTTAGTGTACATTTCACAAGACATGCAACAGACCACAATGCATACCTTCTTGGTGACTGCCTCTTCACCATCGCTGGGTAGCTCAAACTTCATTGAGCGAAGCTGGCTTTGAATCTCTGATGTTGCGTCGCGGACCTTGGGCCAGCTGTGTCCTTGCGAGACGGCCTTCTGGGCCTCATCGTGGAACGCCATCATGTTCTTCATCATCCATTCAGTCTTCCACAGAGGGCAGAACTGATCATAGTCTGAGTAACCGTTTTGTTGCAAGAAATCCTCCTTGATTAGTGTTGCGACATCGAGGGTAATCTTGTCCGAGTCGCCCAAAGCGGACTTACCAACCAGCTGCACGACTTGGTCGAGATCGTCAGAGGTTGTAAGAAGCTCCTTGATGCGATCACGCAGGCGAGGGAAGTCGGGGTTGTTCTTGGCATAGAACTTGTCGAGCGGCGTTGTGTACTTGCTGTAACTGATGGAGGTATTGACTGAAGGAAAATGCTTTCGCTGAGCAAGCTTTTTGTCCAGACCCCAGAATACTTGCACAATGTTGAGCGTACTCGTCGTGACGGGATCCGAGAAATCACCTCCAGGCGGACTGACAGCACCGACAATGGACACACTGCCGTAGCGCTCAGGGCTACCGAGCGCCTGGACACGGCCAGCACGCTCGTAGAAGGATGCAAGCTTAGCACCCAAGTAGGCAGGGAAACCCTGATCAGCAGGCATCTCTCCGAGACGACCAGAAATCTCACGAAGAGCCTCGGCCCATCGCGATGACGAGTCGGCCATCATGGCAACATCCTTGCCCTGATCTCTGAAGTACTCGGCCACCGTGATCTGATGCTTGTTAGCGGCGTATCGTGTCAATATAAGAGGACTAGACTTACTCCTGTGTAAATGGAGGCTTCTCGGGCAGCCACGGGCATATTGGAGGTGTTGGCGATGAGGGTTGTGCGCTTCATGATGGGCTCCTTCTTTCCGTTGACGTCGATGGTGAGTTCAGGGAAATCCATCAAAACTTCGGCCATCTCATTACCGCGCTCTCCACCTGATCTTGTTAGCACATGATGCACGTGTCGGTGAGAAGTGATGGCAACTTACATCCGACGTAGACGATGATGTCACTGTTTGAGAACTTGGACAACGACTGCGAAATGACGGTCTTGCCGCATCCAAAGGCACCGGGAATGCACACGGTACCACCCTGCACACTGGGGAACAAGGAGTCGAGGACACGTTGGCCGACAATGAGCGGCTGATCAGATGACAGCTTCTCGTTGGAAGGGCGGGGCACCCGTACGGGCCACTTGTGCATCATGCTGTACTCGCTCTTGGTTCCGTTGAACTCGAGTTCCAGAATCTTTTCATCGACAGTGTAGCTGCCCTTCTCTGCGATGCGAGTAATGGTACCCTTTGCGCGGGGAGGGAGCAGGATCTTGTGCTCGCTGAGAAGACTGTTCTCGAAGACGACACCAAAAACATCGCCTCCCGTGATGTGGTCTCCCACCTTGAGGCTGCCAGGTGTAAAGTCCCACTTCTTCGTGCGGTCGAGAGCGGGCAAGTTGATACCGCGGGGGATGTAGATGCTGTTGGCTTCATCGGCGATACCCTTGAGAGGACGCTGGATACCATCGTAGATGGTCTCCATTAGGCCGGGGCCGAGTTCGACGGACAAGGGCTGCTCGGATCGGTAGACGGGATCACCAACAGTGACACCAGCTATGGCGTGTTAGTAACGCAGCTCATTGGAGGGGTGGGGAGGGCATGTATTCTGCATCCTACCTGTCTCCTCATAGACCTGAATGGTGGCCTTGTCGTTCTCGATGCGAATGACCTCTCCTACCAGGCTATCGTGGCCAACGCGGACCTGCCTACATCAGTGGAGGTTTCCTGCAGCTGTGAAGAGATTATACCTACAAGCTCATACATGGCACATCCGATCATATTCTCGGCGATGATGACGGGCCTGGAACTACTATCAGTATGAGGGATGCGCATTGTCTTGCGGTGACGTACCCCGAGATGGAGTAGACGGCGCCTGTGAAGGGTCAGCTCTTCGTTCTATACTATACCGTGCTGCTACACGTACCATGCTCGACCTTGTCCTCGCCCTTCATCTTCTGCTCCTGCTTCTTCTGTGATTTCTATGTCCGCCCCAAGCCATCAGCCACAGTCGATATTTTGATTTGGCCTGGAACAAAAGGCTTACCGGCGGCATCTTGGCGATGTCTGGCTCCTCCTCGTCGTCGTCGGAATCGCTAGCTGTGTGGAGTGTGATGCGCGGCGGCGGCGGGAGCTGGCTGGGGAGCTCGGGGTGCGGTGATATCAGCGGGCTCTGGGGCAAGGGGATGCGATGAGCCTCGATCTCCAAGGGCGAAACACGGTCGAGGGCGGTCGAGATCTGGTCGATGTTCTTCTTGTGGATGAGGTCGTAAAGAGAGGCCTGGGGTTTGAGGCGAGGGCGCAGGCCAACATGCATTCAGTGAGCAGCTCTGGTCGATGCAGCGCAGGTTGAGGTCAACACAGAAAGGGGCCGTGCAGGGCGGGCGCTGCGCTAACGGAGCCGACTGACTTCTACTCTAAGCTGGTGGGGCAACACAGGAACAGTTGTCGACCTAGGAGTAGGCTGGGTACAAGAAGTAGGTTGGAGAGTATACCGGTAGCACTCTTCACCCCAATCGCAGATGGCGATGATGGATTGTGGTTTTGCAGCAAAGCTCGGGCAGTTGTCCACAGCGGTATTGTTCTTGTGATGAGCACCGGTACCGGCATCATCGCACGACAACAAAGATTTTTCCCTTCTAGAGTGCCTACCGGTCCTGGCAACGGGCAGGAGCTACCCTAAGACAACACAAACTGGCGACTGACGTCATGGCCAGAGCTTACCGGCACTTCTCATCCGCCCAACAGCTCCATGCGCAAGTTTGCATGACAGTAGAGTCCAGACAGCATCAATTGATAACCGCACTCGGCAACATCAGATCAGTCTCGATCCGCCAGCCAACATGTCCTCCAAACAGCTCGCACTTGGCCTCCTTACTGCGGCCCCTCCATGCTCGTCGTCGGTCTGCTGGTCATGGTGTCTCGTCTCTCCCCACGCTTGGCCTCCTCCATGTTTTGTTCCATGTCATCCAATGCTGCCCTGAACAGGTCTGTGAAATCGCTGAATCTCCGCATGTCTTCTCTTGCAGTCATCGGCTTGTCGGAGATGCATACAGGCACGTAGCGCACCAGCAATGGCTTCAAGACGAGCAGCGATGCACAGGCTAGAGCCACGTTGACCTCGATGGCAGACAGTATCAAGGCATAGGTACCCGATTCTACAAGAGTTAGCAGAGAAGACGAATGTGCTGCGTGGTCTACGTACTGGTAACCTGCTGTCGGTGGGCGAATTGGTGCACCAAGGCAAGACGGAGAATGCTCACAATACAAACACTGGGAGGAATCAGTACCAAGGCATGTGATTACCGGGAGAAACGTACAACCCTCCCAGTCCAAACACCACCAGCAAGCTCAATTTTTGTCTCCTAGGCAGTTTCAGCCTCCCTACAACAGGAATCGGGAGTATCCAGATCATCCAGTCGAGGGCGATGCCTATGCTGCTCGTCGACAAGAAGTGTGTCTCAGCATTCATGCATGTTCCAAGCACCCTCAGGTTCCAATATTGTTGCACAGGTTTACATAGGAACACAACGCCAAATACCCCCCAGGCCGTGGCTCCGAGGATGAGTAAAAGCAGCACATAACAAGCGTACATGATGGATCGGGTTAGTGAAAAAAGACGAGTATACTGCAGTACAAATGAGGCTTTGACAAGATTGACGGAAAGATGGTAGAAGATCGATTGCGCAAAGACGAGCTAGCACATGTTAGTAGTGTCGCTGCGTGACTAGAAGATGCTCTTTTTTTTTAAAACAGACCTTTAGCATGGTCGTCATGGAAGACTGTTGAGACAGGTCCAAGTCTTTACGACGAGAATCCACCCTGTACTCTACGCATTGTCAGTTTTGCACATGATGGAATTGGACATGACCTACCTGCCCCGATCACGGCAGTGTTCCCTATAGAGAGTATCTGTCGGTCTTGGTCAGGCACCGCTACACCATCATGATCATCATGATCATCCTACATACCAAAGCAGCGGTCACAAGATAGTCCTCCGTCTTCACACCGCAAGCTGAGTACAGACGGCTGTACCAACGCAAGCCAACCATAATACTAGCCAGTATAGTAAAGACAATGGCAGGAACAAGGGCATCGATTTGAATATCAGCCGTTGCTTCAGATGAAAGAATGAACCAGCTCGGCGAGTGGGTACGCATGGTGGCTGTCCAGGCTGGAGACAGGAGGCGTTATCGTGAGAGTGACAAGATCCATGTAGTGCTTGTGAGTCAAGACTGATCCGGGGAAATCAGCCTATTCGACGTTGAGAGGCAGCTAGGTCAGGCAAACTAGGTCGGACCGTACCGACGGAGGACAAATTGTGTGGTTGACATGATGTCGATGTTCCGCTAGAATGACTGCTCACCCAACTTGAACCACATCGTCACTATGATCCGTGGATGATCACTGAATGTTATGCAGGGCCAGAACAAAGACGACGGCTATATCTCAAACTCAGACCTGTGTTATGAGACACATGGGCATTGCCTGTGTGCCACCTAGGTGATGTTGTGTGATACTGAAAAGCTTCGCGGATGAAAAGACCGCCGGTTACGCTACCATGGTACCTAGGTGGGGTCACTGCACTTCTTCGCGTACGCACAACGGCTCAGATCCTTTCAATGAATGATGGTCAGGACGTAGCAATAATACTGGAGTCTCTCGAACATGATTGGCCTTCGCGGCTAGGATCGATATCTTCGGCATCTTCGTTCTGACTTGTCGAGGAGAAATGTGAAGAGCGGATGCATCGTTTGATGTGTTAGAGATTGCGAGAATTATTTCCAGTGAACCTCAAATATAGCTGATGAGAATAAATGATGAATTGAGCAAAACTCCTTTGGTCACAGCTTGACCTCGCGCGCACTCAGTGAGCATTGCCGCCGCTGTTCGTGGGCCTCTTCTGAGATCCGATCGCTGATACGACTACGCTGCAAAAGTAGTGAGGATTGTTAATAACATCTACGATACAAAACAGACGTCCTGATTTGTAGAGAAATAAGACCACCAATGGTATCCGATGATCATGTAGCCACTGGAGTGCAAATAATCGTTGAATGTACGATTGGTTGCGAGGTAAATCTGGGTGTGTGAGCGGGCAAGTTTGAGTCGATGCAGTTTCCTTGATGAAGCAAAATTCGGCACCGGCCTGAGTCAAAATTTGATGCATATGCTGGAGCCCGTTTGTGCCACTGTGAAATGCAGTTTTCGGCCTGTTTCAATAAGATCATGAAGCTGCCGTTCATAAGGCTGCTCCCCGCCCGCGATGATGAGGCGATTAAGGTTGCCCCATGCAGTCGTTCAGCCTCTGAGTGACATGTTACGATCAAAGCAATGAAAACGCCGTGACGATGCGACGAGTTGAGGGCGACTATGCAATGATGGAATGGCGTCAGCCTGCATGAGTACACGCTGAGAGGATTCTGAAGGTGATCGGAAGATGCATGTAAGCTACTGTGATAATGAGCCTGCAACTGTTCGCTCATAGAGGGAATGCAATGCTGCGTTCAATCTGCAACGAGGATATTAATTGTAGACACAGTTGTACGCATAACGTATATAGAGACCCAAGTGCCCTTGATCTTGTTTAATGCTGAAGCGTCATCGTGAGCTAGGATACTAGATACTCCACGTACCTTTCCAAAACTTCAGGTTTCAGTACCAATGTTTCGGAGTGAATCCGATGGAGCACATATAATTATTACACATGTCGGATGAAAGCGCGTATGGACCACGAGTGAGTATTGGCATCAAAACAAAGGGCAAGTCAAACCGGACGAATGTCTTGGGCGTCAGAGAATGGATGAATTGGAGATGTGTTCCCTGCGTACAAGTCATACGCGTGAGAGATTGCGTAAGTGGATGGCAAAAGGTCGTTGATCCAAGGATGTGGGCTGGGATCCTTAGTGCGCCTTTTGTCCAGCAATTGATGCGGTATTTGGAATACACATCGACCAGACCAGCATGAGCCAGCATCGCGTGTGCAAACAACTGCCATTAGCCGGTCACTGATATTTTGGTATTTGTCAGGAACGTACGACTTCTGTAGATCATACTTTGGACTGGTAACTTTTGGCTCGAGCATAGTTGTTGTCATTGGTTCGCTATAAGTCCACCCGATGTTTCGCTTCGAGGAATCCTAGCGCTTTGTTGTCTGCGATGGGCATTTCCTACACCGCATTTACAACTGTGTGCGACTGTGGTCTTGTCGTCCAAGGCGGCCATGGGCTGCCGTGCAGTAGGCCTGCGATCCGAGGGTCCCGTGTATGTCAAACGATGCCCGTACGAATCAAAGACTCGTAGATACTTATATACTCATCCGTCGGTGACAAATTGATCAGCTTGGACTATATCTCACTGCATCTCCCTGGCTTTGCATCCCTCGACATGTCTATTCGATCTTCATCTTCGACAACTTCTCAAAGCTCGTCTACATCCTCTTCGGATCAAATGGCTACTTTTACTTCTTTCACTTCACCACATCCATTTCTGACCCCTGGCCGAGCAAGCACAATTTCTTCCTGGACCTCAACACTACCAGAGCGAAGTTCCGGTGCACACCAGCAATGCCAATCTGAATCCAAGACACCCGAGGCCACTGTCGAGGCCTATCGACTGCTCAAGCTGGCCTTGTTCTCGAAAGCAATGGCCACCAAGCGACAGGGATCCGGATAATGACGGCCACAGCCAATTCTCAAATGTGCAAATCGAAAAGCGACATAACGCAACAGCATGCGGCTGTAGGCTTGATCTAAACCGTCGGCACCATGAATCCGATCAGCATAGCGCACATATTCCCTAGCTAACTGTTGCCTGTCAAGTGGAGGTGAAGGGCGGCAAGGAAAGAGCACCAAATGAGTGCAGGTAGCTGAAGCCTCTCTCGTCTGCGCACGATCTGATATCATGGACGGTTTGAAGTTCGAGACAGGTGAATTACGCCAAGTGAAGATGGAATTTGGAATTCCAGATATCTCGAGTTCCCTGCTGCACAGCTACCTAGGTGGTGGCGCGACGCTAGGGCGTCCACGATAGCTTGCGTTTGCGTAGAGATGTGGCCGCCTCACAACCGCCGATCCACCAGAGGTGCGGAGAAGTAGTAGCATTGGAATACTCTAAAAGCATTGGTTCTCCAACGATTTCCCATGCTGTACGTATGTGATGGATTTATTGCTGTTGCCGAAATTTGAGACCACTCTCCCATGATGTAGCCGAATATCAACCACACTTGTAGAACGAGCATTGGCGAAAAATCGACAATGGAGGCAGGATAAGATGCGGCATCGTGGAAATCAAGCGAAAGTGAGAAGGCTGGAGTCGTTGTGAGGATGAAGGATGAAAAAGAGACCCTTCGCCCCTGTCGTCCTCGGCTTATCGATAAACCGCTAGCGCCTGACTAGCACGCCGAATGTTTGCGACCCTCCCAAAGTTCGATGTTACTCGGATAGCGCATCTACGCGACAGGCAAAAGCGACTTGTAATTCTGCGACCATTAAACACACATCCTGCATACTAACACGCCAATATGTCGGCAAGCACACCAAAGACGATGTCTAGCCGGCTGATGACGATGAAGGTATAGCGAGCGCTCCTATACCGCGTTGCGCCATGGAAGACTGACAAACCTGAATAGTTTAATGATAGGTGAAGGCAGTTTCGACCCCCTGGTTCGCATCGTCGGT